TCTACACGAAGTTCTCTGTTTCTAAAAGTTCACACTTTCATGAGGACAAACCAGCCTTTGTAAGTATAATGTGACCATCCTAGTGCTGGGATAATCCCCCCACTGACCCAGTGAAGGGGAAGGTGTGAATTTTTCAGGCTGTCTCTGCTACCTCTTCTTTTTTTTTTTAATTTTTTTATTTAAAGAGAAAAAATAAAACAAAACAGTCAAAAGGTACAAGTAATACAGAATTTCAAAAAAATAAAAAGTAAGAAATCACTAGTTAATAGATTATATATTGTCATCTTAGAAATAGTTGTTCAAGTTACAAAATTAAAGCATACAAAATGGACATTCAAACAGTGAGATTGCAAACAATTCTGTTCAATGATCCAACAAAAACTTAGTAATGTGGTTTTCTATCTTACACACTTAAATATACATGCAGTCATATCCTTTAGAGCACTTTCTTTTCCTCTCTTTTTTATAATAACAATTACACATTTTGGGTTTTATTACTCCCACAGTTCTTATTACTTTTTTTTTTGAAGAGAATAAAACCAAATGTGACAAAACAAAATGGAGTCAGTCAAAACAAAAGGATGGACATAGTACATGATGTAAAAAAAGAATACCAGCTGATCAACAATGGTTACCATAATGCCTCTTGCTATCTTAAAAAGAGTTGCATCTATCATCAGGTATAATAAAATTGAATAAAACAGTACAGAACAAAACCAATAAAACCTAAACACTGGAGACCTTACAGAACTTCAAAACAAAATAATAGTCAAACCAGAATGGGCATCATAGTTAATCTTATTGTCTTCAAAGTAGTTGCCTATACCTTCAAACTTGATGCTATCAAACAAAACAGAATAGAGTAAAATCAGTCAAAACAAGATGGTGAGAGCAATACAGGGGTTCAAATTAAGTTAATAGGAAAACAAAAAAGTTAGTATAATATATCCTGCTCTTTTTTAATTTACTTTTCCCTTAATTAAAAAAATAATAAAAAAATAAATTAAATTTTAAAAAAGGAAAAAAAGGGGAGACTGATAAAAGAGGACATAGCAACACAGGTCAGAACAGAACAATTTAAGCAACACAGTGTTTCACCACCAGATAACCTGACATAATAGTAGCACAGTGTCTCTTTCCTTGAAATATCTGTTGCCTCTTCTAAAGACTCCTCCCTTCCTTGACAGTTCTTGACTTCAAGTGCCCAATACTCTCTTTCTCAAGGAGGCCTCTTCTCCACCCTCTCTCTGGACTTACCCCTCCTCTGTCATCAGTGTTTCCCTTGAAAGTCAACCTGGGAACTCAGCCCCAATAAAGTACGAATGCCTAATGAGCTTGGCTCAGGAAGTCCCACAAGGAATCCATGCTTTAAGAGCAGGCTCCCGGAAATATAGGCAAAGAAATAATTTTTCAAATAGCACTTCCAAAAGTATTTAGCAGAGTGAATTTGGGCAGGATATATTTCCAGCATCTTACATTACTCCATGTGGTGAACCAACTATTTCTCCTATGTCCAAGTCTCTACCTCAGTCCAGCCCAAATCAGACTTTATCTTTTTGAACTTTAAAATGCCTAGTTTGAAATTATTTCATTATGTACTGGTCTGGCCTTTCTCTAACAACAACCTTTCAGACACCTCAAAGGCAGCAGCATCTCTTCAATTTTGGTACCCCAGGGCCAAACACAGAGCTCGGCACACAGTAGGTGTGCATAACTGCCTGTCAGGAATTCCTTCTTACTTGACACATGAAATTAATGAACTAATGGGTTTTAGTGTCATTGGTTGCAAAAATGGCTCATTCCTTCTTTGACACGCAGCATTTCTTATCACTTTATACTGTTTAGTAGTATTAGCTAGAATTTCAAGAACAAGATAGAAGAACTGTGATAAGAGCAAGCATTTTTATGAGGTCATGACTTTAGTTAGAATGCTGTTTTTCACAGTAAATCAATGCCACTGTTAATGGCTCTTCACAGAGGCTATCACATGAGAGAAGTGGCCTTTGGTATTTTATTTATAGAGAACTTGTGTTTATTTTTAAGCAAAAGTAAGTGTTGAATTAAATCAAATGGCTTTTGAATTTCTATTAAGATGATTAGGGTCTTTGATCTAATAAATTAATAGGCTCCATATAATATTAGCTTACCTAACACTGAAATGCCCTTGCAATTTTGGAATAAATTCCACTGGATGGTGGCAAGCCTTCTTTAAAACAAGGAAGCAAGACCTGTAGAGACTGGGGCCTGTGTGTCAGAACCCTACATGTTAGGAAACAAGCAAAATGTAAATGATGAAGAAAAATCCATTGTTATGAACAAGTATATTAAAGAAGTCAAGTCTTTGAAAAGAAAAATAAAGTACATGAGGGCCGGTGGTAGAGAACTGCCTAGCATACACACAGACTTGGGTTCAATCTTCAGTACCACACAAAAAATAGACAAACTTCTTGTCAAATCTGAGAGCAATCAAAAATTGTAACATTAGGAACAAGAAGCTCCAAGGTCAGGTCAAGAGCAGCAGTTGGTGTGCACTGCCCCAGTGGCTCTCCTATCAGTCGTGGTCAGTCGTCTCCTATCAGCCGTGGTCACATGAGGTTTAACAAGATGGGGTGCAAGCTACACAGACAAGCCCAGAGTTTTCCCTAAAACCTGTACACTCCATTTACTGTAGTTTGTTTTGTTTTGATGGTCCTTATCTGTGCTCTGAAAAATCTTAAATAACCTATACACTCTATATTTGTGCGTTTCCCTTTAAAATCATATGATCCCAAAGGCACTTTAGATCACAATTTTTTCACTAAGAAATCTTTCCTGCTTCTTTCTCTATCCTTGAGCCACTTCTGGTCTTCTAGGGCAATTTTGACATTTATTTTCTTAGAAAACCACCCGTTTAACCTGAGGTTTCAAACAATCAAGTTTTATAGTCTTCATGCTCCTTCCTCCTTGTCTGCAGAGGTCCACTTGCTCCAGCAAAGACACCTGTGCCAGCTGATATAGCATCTTTCTACCTTTGCTACTGGCACCCTGCCCATCACTCTGCTCCAGCCTCACAGAACTACTTTACAGCTTTGTGTCTCTGTGTCTTTGCTCAACCTTTTCTCCCACCTGTAGTACGCCCTTCTGACTTAGATGCAATTCCACTCAACAATCAGGCTCTAGCTCAAAGGTGAATTTATTTCCAGGACAAAACTGGTCAATTCAAACCTTTGTGTTTCTGTGCTACTTTGTTCACAATGACACTCATGAACCATCTCATACTGTGTCACAATTACAATCTATCGTGACATATTGGAGTCTCACACACACACACTGACATGCATATGCACATGGTTCATATTTGATCACTGGTTCCCCTCTGCACTGAGGACATTCAATTCTTTGCTCCCTACTGTATCCCAACTCTAAGTATGGTACCCAAGGTAAGCCCAAGGTACCCATGGAGCCCACGGTAAATATTCAAAACTTGTCTGTTGACTGAACATTATTTTTGTAAAATTAATAGTTAATTACAGTTGGGCTGGGGATTTAGCTCAGCGGCATAAGCACCTGCCTTGCAAGCAGGTGGTCGTGAGTTCGATCCCCGGTACTGATAAAAAGGAAAAAGACAAAAAAAAAAATAATAATTAATAGTTGAATCCATATGAGGCAACTATGTGAATGAGAAAGAGATCTTTTTTTTTTTTTTTTTTTTTTTTGTCTTTTTCTTTTTTATCAGTACTGGGGATCGAACTCACGACCGCCTGCTTGCAAGGCAGGTGCTTATGCCGCTGAGCTAAATCCCCAGCCCCAGAAAGAGATCTAAGACAGTTTAAGAAGCTGATAACATGAACAGAGATTTGAGAGACGCTCATGCTACATCTTCCCAAGTGTGGCAGTTCAGCAGAGACCCACAAGGAAACTGGATTCACACTGAGGAAACTCTCACTCCTGTGGCATGATAGCTTCGGAAACAATGGTGGTAATGATGTAGAACAACAGCTTCTGACTCTAGTCAACAATCATCTATGGCATGCACACCACAAGCATTGTACACTATGCATTCTGGAGGCTGAGCCTGCCCACCCTGAGACACTCCTAGGCCCCCTCACATAACCTTTCTCTTGGAAATGAGGATGTTGCCTGAGAAAAAAAAAGTCCCCCAAAGCCCAACTACTGGCCCCTTCCTATGATTGTTCCACTTGCTACAGGAATGCAAGTGAGGATAGATGGGCAATCATGATGGAATTAAAAAGGAAATCTATTTTGTATTCCTGGAGAGCCTCGCATCCCATTATTTTGGCTTCTATTAAAAAAGACAAGATTAAGAGGTCCCATCAGAGGAGCATGCAACATGGAGCAGCAAAGCAATGAGGACAGGAATGAGGATGGAGAGAAAGATCCATGAACACAGGTTACAAAAGCATTCCAGATGGCCTGGAAGTTGTCATTCAGTGGTTCATTTGACATCATCTCCATGGATCCACATGTCACAATCACCAGGCCATGTAGTGGTTAAATAACCAAAGCCAATCCAAAAGATCAAAGTGAATCCATAGCCCTGAAACATTCTGCCTGTCCATGGATACCACGGAAACCCTGCTATCCTGCCGGGTTTGGAAATAAGGCATGATGTGTTAATGCTATGTAAGAAAAAAATTAGACGTTCCACTTAGTGAAATCAAGCAAACAGGAAGTTCTAGGCCATGTATGACCTCTAAATAGAGCAGTGACAATCCTGTGCTTATTAGACTGCACTAGATAAAACGTTACCTTCTTTTTTACATGCCACTCAGTAACAAAGAACTAGCTAAACTGGGGCACATTTAGAGAAAGCCATATAACTAGACCATGTCATGTAGAAATGATTGAACACAGGAGGGTCATTTTTCAAATATGTGAAAGGCTGCCACATGTCAGAATTAGATTTTGTGCCAGATGACCCTAAAAGGTAATAAAAGGATCTGCAGATGAAAGTAATGGGAAGAAAGCTCATAGCAGCACAGCTCAGTAAAATAGCTTACCAAAGATAGCCTGGGTCAGGCCGCCTTGTGAGAAAGTGTGATCTCCATTGTGAAAATCAAGACAGTGACTTGACACCGACTCTGCAAAGGAGATGGAAGGACCAATATTTAAGCTATCTACCAGACAGGAGAGTCTGCAAAAATAAGAAAACAACTAGGGGCAACCTTCTGATAAACTCAGCAGATGCTGGTGAGAAGTGGGTTCATTTGCACTGTTCCCTAACAGCACTACTCACACTCTTCCATGGAAACCAGATCAGCAAGGCTGAATCTTTTGCCTGGGACAATCCCCCTCCATCCCCCATGCATTTTAACACCTAATAAAATGGGCGAGAAGCTTCATAACAAGTCACAAAATCTACATAATCCCCACCCTTGAAAAAAGGCATCCAGATATAATTAAGAATTGAGTAAAACAGGGGAGAAAAGCTGCTTCTATTATAAACTGAACAAAAAATACATTGAAATATGCCGAGTCTTACTTATTTCAACCGATGTTTGAAGAGTTATTAGCTAAAACACACTGGCAGTGCCAGACAGAACAAAGGGCCTGAATGGGGGCCTCATCAAAGGCAGTGCAGCCTAGGTAAGAATTGGAAAGGTCTAGGAGGGGGCAGCATGAATGTGTGGCTGCGGTCAGCCCTGGCCTCCCACCGATAGCTGGGCCTAGTGTATGTCAAGGCTCATGGGAAAGAGATGACACATCTACCAAAGGTGGGTGTGGTACGTGAAATGAAGCTTGATGTGGGTAGAAACCAGGACTTCCAAAAACTGCCTTTTACTGGTGAGGGTCCTGAACGAGGGCTAGCAGAGATGGTGTTCAGACTGGTACTCAACTTCAATACCACTTGGTCAATTCTCCTAGACAATTCCACTTTCCATGAAAAAAGGTATCAAATGAAACTAACGGCCTCACCTCCTCCTAGAAATTCTTTATCATATAAACTGAACTTCCAGAGACAAACTATTCATTCAAAGACAGCATAACATAATTTCAAAATCCATAAATTCCAATAAAAGCACATCATAACAAAACAAGAAAGCAGTGATGCTTTTTATCACTTTAGTACAAGTCACATTAAATTAACCACTAGAAAAGAAGGAGTTAAAACTGGTTTACCCTATGATGCCAAACATGGTTCCTTTGCCAAAGTACTTATTTTAAAGGCAAGTACTATATGCATTTTATCTCTTGGACTTAATTTGAGTTTTGCTATGCTCAACAATTTTAATGCCAAGAGGAAGAAACTAAGTGAGAAAGGGAATGCACTGGTCTGAACCTGGAGAGTTGATCTAATTGAACTGAAAAAATTAAACCCTCCCTCCATCTGCTCAGTACACCTGCTGATGGAGCACAACCACAGGTAGGGAGGAAATCCATTGGAGACTGGTTATAAATAGACTTTTATTTCATCTGCTAAAAGCTTGGCAGGCGAGGTGGGAGGGCTGCCTGTGCCGGCAGCCAGCAAAAGCTCTGTGCAGCTTTTATGTTCAGGTAGAAAGAATGGAGAGACACAGAACTAAAAAAATAAAATAGCATAAGATAAAATGAAATAAATTTCCCAACAACTCATATAATAACCAACCAACAGGCATGAAGTTTAAATCATGACAGGCATTTCTGACAATGGCTGGAGAGATGCAGAGACTAACCATTTATTCCACCACATGAGAAACAGCAAAATCTAAGGGGAAGCAAACAGGTCCCAAGTTACTATGCAGCAAAGGTGATAGGTGCCACCGCCCTTGGGACATTGCTGAAATGGCTCAAAACTGCAGCAGAACCAATGACACAACAGAGCCATCACTTTCTAAGGATGGGGATGATAGAAATTCTATGTGCACCAAAACTAAATTTAAAAAAAATGTTTTCATGAAGAAGAAAAGCAGCAGTTCCATCCATGGACTACCAAAGGGCCAGCACAGGCAAGGAGCATTCAGGCTCCCCCTCTTTCTTGCACCCTTCTGCCTCTGGAATGGCTGGCACCTCCAAGAGGAGGTCAACAAACCACAGTTAAACTAAATAAGTCAATTGCAAGGAAAGGATACAGACATCCTGTTCTTTGGGATAAAGATGAACCAATGGCTATCTTAAGACAGGCCTAATATAACATATATATCAGAGATTCAAAAGCAACATGTCAGAGATTATATTTCCAAATATAAGTCTCAAGAAAGAAGGTGGAAGGAGATATGTTTATCTCACTTGCAGAAGTGTAGGCTTAAGGAAGCCTTACTGATCTCCTTCAAGAACATTAAGGCCATCATCAAATAGATAATGACCCGCTATTTTGTTACCACCAAGGACAACAAGAGAAATGGGATTGAACTGTCGCAAGGGAAAACTGGGTTAAATATGAGAAAGAATTTCCTGACAGCAAAGGTTATTAAACACTGAAAAAGGAAACTAAAGGAGATTAAGGATGCTCTCTAGAGGTCTTTAAAAAAAAGAGTGGAATGGCTCAGCAACTATCTTGGGTAATTTAGGCATAGTTCTGCCCGCTCCTCTGGCCTTCATCAGAGTTCTAATTCATCCCCTGGCCCAGTCAAGATACGCTCACCATGGTAAACTACTGTTAGGCTCATTCCATAATGAGCTCTCAGAAGGAGAATAAGCATTAAGAAAATGGCAAAAGCTCTCTTGGAAGTAAAACTCATTTTTTTTTTCATTTAAACAGCACATTGTGTTTTTGTGATTTTCTACATTTTTCCATTTTTTTTAAATGCTATCTCCAGAAATGGCCAAACAAATCTCATCACCACTAATCTGTTATTGCAAAGCAGAAAAAGTGCTCAGTGGCCTAAACAACCACTGCCCTATCAGTATAGTGATGAAAGTGTACATTCCCACCTGAGAGTTAAAATAGGAACATAACTAACTGAAGCAGTTCCATATAAATACCGCACTGACAAGCAGGAAAGAGAGCGGGGACCGCTGTGTGCATGGCCAGCCCCTTCCTCCTGGCTTCAGTTTCTTCTGTGTGTTCTTTTGTTTTGCAAAGTGATTTGGGAGATTAGGTGGGTTTTGTTTAGGCAAGACAGCCAGCAACACTGGTGAATAAGTGCTACTTGATTGCACAACAAAAGATACACAGGCGCCTCAGCCACAACTCAATTCTACTTGCCCCAACAGTTTGAATTTCTCAATTAAGTTATTTTGTTAGCAAGACTACCGGTTAAGGAAAGGAGAAAGCACTTACTGCACCACGCTTATTCACTGTATAGAAATTACTGTAATCAGATCAAAAGAACATTCTTTCTAAGGGCCCAAAACTCCTACTTGATAATGCCACAGATGCAACGGGAGCGTGCCCATATTATGGTGTGCTTTGAGAGTTCTACAAAAAACAAAATTTCACAATAGTGTTGATTCAGTCGTTGGCACCTAGAAATTAAAAATCTGTCCAACGCTTCAAAAAATTGACCAAAATTCTATATGGAAAATAAGAAACTTTATCCTCTAAATATCAATTAAAGAGATGAAATTCTGGAGCATTAGAAGAAACATTAGTCCCATTAATTAATCTTTCCTGCCACATTGAAAAGCATGAACCTCAAATATGTGTTATCACAAAAATCATCTCTGAAAATTAAAAATTCCAATTTTTCAAACATATACCATAGTTCATTTCAAAGTTACCATAAAAAAAATGAAAAACAGACCAAAACTTGAGAAGACATTTTCAATTCATACAGCAAAGAATCAGTATATAAAATATACTACAAATAAGGAAAAACACCTCAAAAGAAAATTGTCAAAAGGCTACAAATTGAGAATGTACAGTAAAGGATATGTAAATTTTTGCCAATATGTAAAGATGCTCTATCTCACTAAGTAATCAGGTACAGAAACAAAAGTAATAGCAAAATATTCCTTGGCCATCAGATTGGTAAAAATTTTAAAGTCTGATATTGTTACATTTTATATCTAGATGCCCCCCCCACCAAAGCCTCATGCACTCATAGTTGGGGCTTTTGGGAGGTAACTCAATCATGGGAACATGATACTCATCATTGGATTAGTCCACTGACATGTCTATAGCTGGGTGTGATGTTGGGAGGTGAAGCCCGCTACAGGAGGTGGGTCACAAAGAGAGTGAGATACAGATACAGATGAGACAGAGATAAAGACAGATATCCCTCTTCCTCTTCCCTCCACCCCTCTCTCCTTCTATCAGACATTACAATATCTGTTTCTCCTCTGCCATGCCACTAAGCCTTGATACCAGCAGACTTATATGGACTGAAATCTCTACACACTCTGAGTCAAAATAAACCTTTCCTCCTTTAAGTTGTGAGTGTCAGGTATTTTGTCACAGCAACAAGTAACTGACGTGTATGATCAAGAATTAATGAAGATATCTAAAGGATATAACTGCATGTATATTTAAGTGTGTAAGATAGAAAACCATATTACTAAGTTTTCGTTGGATCACTGAACAGAACTGTTTACAATCTCACTGTTTGAATGTCCATTTTGTATGCTTTAATTTTGCAATTTGAACAACTATTTCTAAGATGACACTATGTAATCTATTAACTAGTGATTTCTTACTGTATATTTTTTCTTGGAATTCTGTATTACTTGTACCCTTTTACTGTTTTGTTTTGTTTTTTTTCTCTTTAAATAAAAAAAAGAATTAATGAAGATATAATACAGAAACTTTGATACCCCAGTAAAAATTTGTACCCCAGTGCAAATTCTCAGAAGAATAAATTTTGGCATTATTAAATGAAGCTAACAGATTCAATACCTTAGCTGTATTTCCAGGCCCTCTCTAAAAGATCACACATACCTGTGGGGAGTCATGCTGTCAAGGATAACTTTGACAGCATCATTAATACCAGTAAAGACCTGAATGACCATCCACAAAAAAAATAAGGCAATGACAGTACAACGCTTACTCTATAACTCTGGACCTATAGCAGCAACACAGATAAATCTCAAAAATACCTAATCTAGTTTACAGGAAAAAAAACAATAGTTCAAAAGCAAAGTTTTAAGTAATATAAAATAATAATTATGTTGCTTACAGCTATATATAGTAAATATATCACTATATACTACACTTTATAAATTA